GTGATCTGCTAGCCTAACAAAATTCTTTAGTATGTCGCAGTACCTCCGCTGGGAGGCTTCTGCAGTCTGTCTAATCTGTATTTTTATTTATTTCAGCTTTACCATCAATTGTTCTTATTATTCTTTTTTTTTTTTTTTGAAACAGATTGAATAAAAAACTTATTTAACACAAAAAAAAATGTATTAAAAATTGTTTGGATAAATTCAAAATAGCCTATTTGTGAATCTGATTTTAAGAACAATTTTTATGTTAAAAATATTTATCTAAGTCAAGAAGTTTATGTTCTAGAATTTTTTTTAAAATTCAATATATTTTTTGGGTAAATTAATTTTAAACGTAATAACCTTTTAAAAAATAGGATTTTTGAGAATTTTCTGACATTATAAGTATATTTCTTTAATTCTTTACTTATCATATAATGTTAAACAAAATTTTTCATACGTTTAAATAGTAATTTTTTTTTTTTTATGATAGATCTTTCTGTTACACTTAGTATACTTTTAAATTTCAATGCTTTCACTGTCATGAAGCGCTGTCCTGTGAATAAAGTAAACTTTTTTTAGTTATTTGTTATCACTATGTTTTATTTGTGTCAACTATAGTTTATTTCTATTAGTCACATTTGTAATTTTTTAAATTTTAAATTTAAAAAAACTTAAGAACATCAACATAATTTACTTGCCCCCCGCAACAAGTTTGGATTGACTGGTTTGAAGTATCAATAATATTTCCAGTGATATGAATATGCTATAGGTTATTCCGTTCGATYCTCTATCCTTGTCTTAATTGTAAAGAAAATCAATGATAGTTTTTTTTATATGGAGGGCTGGTCGCGCGCCTACCTTCTTCTGATTCAGGGTCAGTTTCGTATTTATGGTGCCATTATCATATTTTGATGACTTACAGTTATTAATATTAAACGTATTTGAATACTACTATCCAATAAGTTTATATTATTTTACACTACTACTTATAATATTATGCGTATTTCATACKAATATAACTTATACCATACRCATAAGGATATAATAAGTGGTATGGATTTTTACTGTATTATAATTTTGCAGTCGTGGTACAATTTTTAAAAAAGGCGTGAAGAGCTTAATGAGAATGGGCAAACAGAAACTCCCGCAAGATAAGGAGGCATTGGTGGACAGTGACGACAGTGCACAAATGACTGCAATCCCTCATCAACGGGGTCACATGACGGAGACAAGTGACCTATCTTCTGACAACGAATCTATMAATTCTCTCAATGTCGAATACTCACCAAAGCCTAAAAAGTAAATTGCCATAAGAAACGTGGTGTGGTTTTTTTTTAAATGAAAACTAATGTTTTCTTTTATTTATACAATTTTTTTCAGACCATTGAAACATAAAGATCAATTAAATGCAACCCAAAATGCACTTAAATCTCAAGACTTTCAAGTATGTGTAACCATCATTGAGGCAAGACAACTAGCAGGTCTGAATATGGACCCTGTTGTATGCGTACAAGTTGGCGAAGTAAAGAAATATACGAGTGTGAAGGAAAGCACAAACTGTCCTTACTACAATGAAGTAAATATCATTAGTTTTATACTACTTAGTATATAACGTACAATTAGAATGCCATAATATTTTCATGACATGGCCATTAAACTTTCTAATACTCTCAAAGTATTATTTTCATATAATATAATGTTACAGGCATAGAGTTTGAAGTGATGGTTAGTTATCAATCATTAATTTTTAAGTCAATGAGTTTTTGGCAATCATTTATTTGATATTAATACAATGAGTGACACGGTTGACATATATTATTACTATAATATTAGGTTTTATTTAGGCAAACTTGTGTTCCAATAAACTTTAATGAATACAAGCTAAAACATTTGTATAGGTTGTTTCCTTTCAACATCCAGTTAACCAATCGGTGTGTTTTTCATAAATAAATGTTTTTTGTAGGTCACAACTTAAAGTGTTTAAATGTCATCGTATCGTGTCTATTCAATTGATACTTGTATGATTTGTTTGAAATATTTCCATTCGCTTTGTTGAATTTATACTTTATAGAAAATCAATTTTAATCACTTTGCCATAAAATTGTTTAAGTTCAATTCATATATTGTTAGTATAAAAAAATCTATTATTTTTTTTTTTTATCATATGAAAAAAAATAGGTGTTTGTTATGTGCTTGTCTTAGTTCATTTTTAAAATCTAAGATATACGCAGTATTTAAAGTTTTAATAAACAGACTTATCAGTTTTGATGCTTGTTGTTATAAGTTGTGGATRGTATTAGGAAAAAATCCAAAATTAAACACACTATACACTAGCCCARTCAGGTTACTTTTTATCAAAATAGAAAAATATCTTTTATAGGTAAAACTTTCATTCTTCTAGTACATTTGGAATCGTCTTCAAATTTTGAAATCGTTGATATTTTGAAATATTTAAAATATTTCACAGTATTAAAAATAGCTAAATTGGTCATATACTAAATTATGATTCTCATCGCCTTTAAAATGCCATTGTACATGACACAAATATGAAAGTTTAGATACATTATCAGGTATCAGTTCAACTTTATCAGTCATCATAAATTAACACTTGATTCTTGGCCTTCTCATTTTGTGTCATTAACAGTAAAATTTTGATGGTGGTGGGAATAATGTTGGACACAATTTAATATTGGAGGCRAAATAAACGCACATAGCCACATACATAGTATTTGATCTAAATAGTTGTACTATATGTATGGTCTACGGCTTATTTAAATAATGTTTTTATGAAGATACACATCTCCAGGATTTTCTGCTTGAATAATAAATTCAAACTATTAACATGCTGATTTTGGCGGTTTCAACCAATACCCTTACTATGTTATGGTTTCCAACAGCAACATAAACTATTTTCAAAACCTCCTCATAATAAATTRAAATAACATTTACGTAAAGTTATTCACATGGAATATTATGTTTGTCATATTTTAATAAAAAAAAAGGTTTAAAAATGTCAATGGTTAATCTACTAATCGAAATATTTTTTACGATGAAAATATACCCATGTTTACATTAAAGATCGCAATTATAATAAAATTTAAAACCCTTTTGATAAAWAGAACCGAAAAGGTTATACATTTATGATTTTTCCTAACATGTATAATGCTTATCAGCTTATCTTTCTCCTAAATATTTCTATACGTTGCATTTTTAATATCTCTACTTTGCCGTCACATCTTACTGTAAATGATTGATCGAATGTTTGACAAATCATTTAAATACATGTTTTTCAAACCGTGTAACGTATTATCTAATYTATATTTTTTTTTTAACTTCAGTTTTTCAATTTTTTAAGCTGTTACCATATCAAAATAACAGAAAATTTGAGTAGTCAAAATAAGAACTACGTTAAACCAATTGGATGACGTATCTATGACTGACACATGGTGTACAATTTATCTATCATTAACACATTATACTTTAACTTTTTAGAAACTTTAATAGATGCTTATAATATACCACAAAAAATAGGGTGGGTAGGAATAGGATAAGGGTAGTAAAAAGGTGGTGTGGTAGGGGTGAAGGGGGAGGGGAAGAGATAACTCGTGATTATTTGAAAAACCAAATAGTGTTATTGGGTTTCATTTTTAAAGTTGATAAAATTTTCCTGTGGACAAATATCTTGAGGTCAGTATATTATAATCGTTTTCACTTTTTCAGTAAATAATTACGTATAATAGAACTTTAGTATTATTACGTATAATAGAACTTTAGTATTATTACTAAACATACATATTATTTTATAAATATTATAATAGTGAATTTTAACCAGTACAGAAAAACAATGCACCACCTATGAAAATTGTTTTAATAATAAAATATAAAAATTCCTTCTTTGTTAATTTATTTTTAAGATCATGGCCAAAAATATAACATTTTGAATAATTGTCGCATTTTTGTACTGACATGGGTTATTCGAGTAAGCACTCATGAAATGATTGAAAGACTATTGTAAAGCCCACCAAAAGTATTTTGAAAGCAGTGTGATAACTATTTGCAGGCGTAGAGTTAATATAAACCCATAACCTTACAAAGCTAAGTGTGAACATTTTGTATCCATTTTATTATTTAGTTACATCAAATTATATAAACACTACTTTTGTCCTAAATATATAAAACCATTAATGAATTATAACCGTTTCAAAATATAAACCTACCTTAACCCTAGCTTTCATATTGAATAAACCACTTAAAACACATACTATTTAAATTTATATTCACCTTTTCGTATTTATTATAAACTTAAAAATTCCAGATACMCTATTGTTTTCCATATGTTATATGGTTGTTAACGGAGTTTTGTTCTTAACGCTCGCCAACGATGTAACTTTTTTATTTATCCATTCGATTTCATTACCTACAGCATTACTTTAAAAAGCTTTAGATATAAAAGTACCAACTGATTTAAAATATATACATTAAAAAATAAAACGAATTMTATTTCATAAACTATTATCTTGTTGGCCTACTTTATCGATTCGTTTTAATGCATTACACGATGTTTTAAATTGTGGTCAATGTTCCAACTAGTTRATTACTATCAAATTGACATTTTTGTTGGTTATAGTGAGGAATTGCTTCCAATAACTTAAATTTGCATGTAGGAACTTTAAATTTCTATGACATAATATTTTGCATCGTTCTATCAACAAAATATAATGTAGGTATTTTAACAAGAACATGATGCCCATGATATTATTTAAAAATTTGATAAATCGATGACATTGAATATTAATTAATTATAGTATACCATTAAATATTATTGTCAATTTTATTTTCCTGGAGGATTCATGTGTAAATATTAGTCGTAACGCAATTTTTCTATTGTTGATTATGATAATATGTTATTTCYATAGGTACCAATGTGTTGTTTATGCTAAACAAATATATTATATATTATGCAAATGTGAAGCAATTTCTTGTTACGAACATAATCCAATTATAGTATTCACATTGTCGTGATCAATTCAATTAATATTTAACATGCATTAATGCACTATAGTTGAATTCATRTATGCAAAATCAAAAAGTGTGTTAAAAGATTTGTTTTCCTTAAGTTTGTAATAGTGAAATATTAGAGTGCAGAGGTGTAACTATATTATAATTTAATTGTTGTTTCAAAGATTCATTTTAATCGCTATTCTTACAGCCTACATATTATTGCCTAGTTTTTTAGAGTATGAACGTAAGAATATAGTTTCTTAGTTTTTACTTCAATTTATCAACGTGTAGAGGGTTAATACTTTTCGTTTGTTAGAATACATTATTATATGCGCTGAAAAATATTCTAAATATTTATATTGAATAATATTAAATAATATGTTTGATTTCATAAACCATATAATATATGCAGTTAATATTTCAAGCCATTGTATTGCAAACAAAGTTTTTTAATACTACATTATTCATTTAATTATACTTTCGTATCTACATCATACCAGTCGTCAGTTATACAATCTAAAAGTTCGAGGAATGTGTCGGTTGTTAAATGCCCACCACTACTTTAAGTCTATACTATAGAGTATGTAGACGCATATATGTAGGCGTCTTATCGTTTTTTCATTATTCGCGACATACTGGCGATATATCGGTCTGTCGACAAGTTAGTCTAAGAGTTAGTAGTGTGCTCTAACGCAGTGTAGAATATTACTTAAGTTAAATAAACAAATAAAGTACAATTATTATTTAATATATAAACGTGTATTCCTTTCTTTTAACTAAATCGAACCTTCAAGGTATAATTAAACATCACATACTACAGATACGGTTTGACAAATTGTCGTCTTTGTATGCAACTAAAGACACGATTTAAAATATAATTGAACATCACAGTCCATACACCGTKGCGTTCATAACATTGGTGGCAGCGGTWGCCGTATTCATTTTCTTTTCTTTTGAAAGAAATTCTGTCTAGTGAGTGATATATTCAAATAATTATTCATATAAATAAAAGTGAACATCGKTGCAAATTCATACGGAGGCGCTTTTACCTATATTTTGGTGAGAACACTATTCTATACTTCCCGATATTTACGTCACGCGCAGCTGCAAACACATCGTATGAGGTGCTATTTATCTTATACCACCTACATGCAACACGGAATCACCATTTATCGTTCGGAATAAATACACAATCTAAGCTTATTTTTCAATAACAATACACATAACTGTATGATAAGCTACACTACATCTCGTCTACATCGATTAAT